ACACTGCAATATGCAAAGATTAGACCCTTTTTTACCGTTTTAATAGAACTCCTTGATTTTTCTTCCCAAACATTACTGCTCAGCTCCATTGTACAATGAACATTTGTTTCTCTTTCATAGGATCCAAACATAAGCAACCTGAAATAGAAAAGTCTATAGTAAGAACTGTAATACTATTACATATATCCCAGCTATCATTAAACTCACCATTCTTCATTTATTAACTCTATTACTATTTTTGACATCAATGACAGAGAAGTCACCCAGAAAAGATTCCACAGGCACAGCCTTACACCAAAGGAAAGACACTGCCACCCTCTAGTGGAAGAACTCCATAAACATCAAATATAACTTAAAATTTCTTTAATTTTCTTTTTTTTTTAAATCAAGTGTTCCATCAGCAGACTAGTATTTTTCCATAAAAGAGTAACTTTTTTAAAAAAGCAATAAAAGCCACAAGAGTCTTCCATTCCAGTCTTAAACTTCATATACCACTGCTGCTCTTGATTCAAGAGAGTATTAATGTAGAGTAAAGTCACAGTTTACTACTGCTTATGTTTCTCTTTCACTAAACTGGGATCCTCTCAAATCTGTAGTTTTTTGTAACACTCATAACAAACAAAAGAATGGTTCTCCATGAATGACACCCTATTCCAGAAGGCTATAAAGCTTTTTGGGTAGGTATCAGTACTATAAAAGAAAAAACCAAACAATAACCTTTTGGCTATAGAACAGCAACAAAGTTGCACACAGCTTAACTCACAGTAGCTGGATGCAGACAAATATTTTGGAATAAAAACTTCAAACAAATCTTACTCTTCAAAAGAGCTATTAGATTTTCATTCCCTCCCCCTAAACTTTCTATATACATTTGACAAGGATAGTTTCTAAGCTTTCATCTAAAGTATCTTATTTGTGATTGTGCTGTGTTACACAACTCTTTAAATGATATAGACAAAAGCTGTCAGAAAGACAGTTTTCTCCGTTTATCTTGATGTTGTTAAATAAATTTTTCTAGGTTAAATATTTATGATAAAAAGTTCCTAGCCCTCCAGAAGTTGAGACATTTAGTAAACATACACAGAAAATTAAGTAAAGCTATTGAAAACAACTTAGAATTTGTAAAATTAAGTCAATCTCAAGGGAGAACACCTCTCTAGCTACAACAGCTCTCTAGCCTGCATTGCACCAAGGAGAGTTTAATTAATATTTCTTTCCTCTGTCTCTCCATGAAGAATTTAACTGGCTTTTAGCCGAGTACATGAATGCATGGGGGAGATGATAGGGGAAGATCACATTTGGGTTGGTACCCAGCACACCTGCTTTACAAACTGTCAGTTGCTTTGGGTTCAAAGGTAGTGACTGTATCCTGAAACTCCATCTTCAGATGGAAAGTTTGCACGTTCTAGTCAAACACCACAAACAGCAGCTGTCAACCTCATTTCCAGCTTGACTTTCAGCACTCATTTGTCTAGACACTATTGATTTGATTATTGCAAGCAGAAATCCAGCCTCAGAACCAACTGATTAGGTACTTTGTCTGGACAAGACTAAGTTTGTTCAAGGTTACTTGAACTGACAAACTCATGCCTTCTTTGCTTATTTTTAATCCATCCCCAGCAACCCTCTGTGGCTTTTCTGTTCTGCTTTTAGTAGCTGCTTTTGAGTAACACAGTTTTTCCTCTGTGTCTGCCACAAGTTGTCTCACATTGATGTCAGACAGTTCGTTAAAGCTTTTTCACAGCTGGTCATTCATTGCATACATTTCATCTCCTGGTCACCTAACATGACAGAAGACACACGGGGAAGGGAGGTGTGAGCAATTATCCTCAAAGTAGACAGGGTGGTAGAAATTCTCTCCCTAGCTTTGCAAAGGAGAGGGAAGCACAGTGGGACAGAGAAGGGGTGGGGGGAAGCAGACAATGAAGCTGATAAACCAAAGACACAGACACTCAATGCAGTTAGAGAGATACAAAAAGATAGACACATTCTGCAGGGAATTTTCCAGGAGTACTTACTGTCCCTTTAAAATATCAGCACAGCAAGTTATTTAGCTATTTTGTACTGGTGGCAAGTAAGACAGAAGAATAAGGACAGGGGGTAGCTCACAGCAGGATGAAAAGATAATTTTCAGCCAGAACCTTAGCATAAAAGTCACATGGAAGACAGTTAACCAGAATGAGATTTCACTTTACATTAGATTACCAACACCAGACTTAAGAACCATACCACAAGACAACAAAACTACACATTTGAACTTTAAAGAGCAGCACTGGCCTGTGGACACTTCATGCCAGAGTTTGGAATAGCATTTCCAATTTCAGAAAGACAAATGGGAAATTCTAATTGCTACTACACTACAGAAGTTTTTGTTTGAATAATACCTCCATTAGCATGCAAAGAGAGACACTGTATTCTATAACATAGCTGCAGATAAAGACTGACATGAAGATCGTGTCACAACACACCCAAACCAATTGGATATTAAGGTGATATCCATACCCTACAGATCTAAAATTTGTAAATCAGTATGAAAGCGCGTATGAAAGACACCCTAAAATAAAGTTTATAACCTCAGCTACAATTAAATCAATAGGAAGTATGATTAAATTACCACCTGAGTAATTAAAATCTGCATATACAAAGTGAATTTCTACTCCTTCCATAATTCTAAATTGGCTGGTTCCTTGCAGCAGGCAAGCACGAGATAGAAAAGTGATTTAACAGAGCAGCTACGGATATCAAAAGAGTTGCTTGTAGCTGTCCTGCATTCCAGTCTGGGAGCTACGAGGACTCCAAGATAAAGTGTTTGTCCTCTGATACAGAACAACAGAAGCACATGGAGGCAGCGGTCACCTCAACTGTAGAGTCGAGCCAAGTCACGCACTTCAGCAAGTCTTTATATTCTTCTGGAAAGGAGGATGAATAACAAGACTATCAAGTTTCCTGCTTTTTGTAGGATGATGCTAAAGTACTGATCTGCAAATCTAACAAGAATCTGGTATGGGCAGGCAAAGTACACACCAACCTTTAGAAACATCTTATCAATTACCAGGTACGTAAAAGTAAGCTGAATTTATTTCCTTTACAATCCTTTCCTATTATTTTATTTCAACTTGGTTCAATGGCCGCACTCAGAGACTAGTGGTCAA